CGCTCCCAACACCCCACCCCCACCCGCAGCGACTCCCACCCTGGGAGACTCACACTCCTCCCTCATGCCAGCCTGGCGGCACTTGCGCAGGCGGCACTCCTGGCACTTGCGGCGCATGTAGGTGTCCATGGGGCAGCGGCCCCCACTGTGGCAGGCGTAGCGGGCCCCCTTGATGACGCTGCGCCGGAAGAAGCCCTTGCAGCCCTCGCAGCTCAGCACGTTGTAGTGGAAGCCGGAGGCCTTGTCCCCACACACGCTGCACACCTCATTGCCCAGCATTTTGGGGGCTGGCCCCTTTTTCCGCTTTTGTGGACGGACCTCTGGAAACAGATCAAGAACCTTGATTCTTCTCCAAGAAAAAAAAAAACGTGGTCCCCAGTCAGTCACTGCCCTGGATGCCCAGGGACTGTCAGCCGCTTCATCGTGCGCAGCAAGTCCTGTCATGGGCTGAGTTCCCCTGGGTCCTAGGTGCTGTCTGAGCCCTTCCAGGCATGGAGCCTCCCAAGCACCGTCAGAGATGGGGACACTTCTCGTCTCCCTTCCATAAGGGAACCGAAGCTCAGAGGGTCTAAGGCCGAAGCAAATGTCACACTGATCGCCCAGGACTCACGGACACCAAAGCCTATGGACTGACAGGACCCCAAGGTATCCAGCTCAGATCCAGGGAGCCCCGACCTCCTCCCAATCCAGAAGCTTCTTACCTGTGGACTCTGGAGGGGACTCTGACCCTGGGAGCAGGGCTGTGGGCTCTGATGCCTCCAGACGGAGCCCCAAAGTGCCCCCGCCCAGCTGGGGCGCGCCCGCCTCCTCTGTGAGCATGTAGGGTCTGCCTCCCAGGCACTCGCGGCCTGCATCTTGCGTTCCTGGTTCCCACAGCTCCAGTGCAGAGTCTGAGTCCCGAAAGAGAGGTACAAGGAGGTCTCAGATAGGGGCCCTTTGCCCGGAGGTCTCGCAGGGAATGGGCTAGCTTATCTCCACCCATAGAGGGCAGCAAAACCTAGTTCGGACTCAGGGGCCCAGGGGGTTGGGGGCAGGGGTGTCTTAGGGCAAACTGCTTCCAGTCCCTAGCACCTGAGCACCTTAAATGAGAATGTTAACCTTTGTCCCCTGGGGGGGATGATGTGTATCCATTTCAGAGATCAAACAAAACTCTTCAAAGTCAGAGTTAGCTCTGGACATGCGGATTGTCCGTTCTCCAGCAGCAAGCCCAGACTGAGAAGGAATGGTCAGGTGCCCGTAGTGATCAGGCCTGAGGGCCAGGCAGAGGTAGTCTGGGCAGAAAGGGGCAGGACCACCCGCCGGGGGAGGGCAGAAGGCAGCTCAGGAAGGAGGCTGGAGATTCCTGGGGAAGGAGGCCTCCTCAGGGGAGAGGGCTGGGGTGAAGCACTTACCAGGAGAAACACCAGTCACCGGGGCGGCTAGCCACAGGGACATCTCTCCCTGGAGCCTTGGACATTACCGAGAGACTGTCCTGCAGGAACAACAGTGGTTACACTCTCCCAGAAGGGGACTCCTCTCTGGCCTCTGCTCCCTCTCCCCGACCTGCCTTATCAGTACTAACATAGCAGCTACAGTGACCTGCCACATAAGAGCCTGAGCTAGGACGCGACATGCCCTTCCTCCTTCCATGTCGGGGAGGTCAGGCTTCCTCTTAACCCCCTAAAATGAAGAGGAATGATTAAGGAAATTGCCGGTAGCCAAACAGTTGGGGAAGGCCACAGCCAGCACTCTCTGTTTGGCTCTCAAAGCCCTAGCTCTTGGGCTCCATGCCACCTTTTCTCCCCGGAGCCCCTTTCAGTCCCACTGGGGGATATTTGGGTACATCGGCCCCTCCCCCTCACTCCAGCCTTGGAGTAAGCCCAAACTGGACAGGACCAGGACGTGGGCCTCACTTCACCCAGTAAAACACGCTGCATGTTAGCTCACGCTTGCCACTTTCCAGGGGCTCAGCACAGACCTCTTACCTCCAAGACTCACCCCAATTCAGACACAGGACCTTCCCCAGACCCACTGGGGCTGGGACTTAAATAGAATCCTATTCCTGCCCGAACTTCCAGCAGCAGCAGCAGCATCATCATCCTTCACTTCTCCCCAGAGACCCTTTTCTAAGATCCACAGGAAACCCCACCCCTCACACACACACGCACACGCACACACACAGCGCACAGCCCCAGGCGGGTGCTGAGGACAGACCCACCGAGTGCCCAGGCAGCCAGACTTCCTGGCTGGGGCAGTCTCTGGAGCCCCCTTGCTGGGAGAGGAGGGTGGTGCAGTTCCCGGTCCAGAAGCCTCTGGGGCCAGCCAGCGGGGAGCCAAGCTGAGCAAAAGAGGGACTCTGGGGAAGTAATGTGGGAAAAGGCTGGGGGAGGGGCTGTTGAGGGGTCGGGCTACCTCTTCTTCCTGCCAGGAGGGCTGGAGACTGACAGGAGCCCTAGCCTCCAGGCTCCAGCCACCGCCCCCACCCATGTGACTCCTCCCACGCCAGCCACCCCCTCTGCCCAAAGTCACCCCTGCCCCCCTACCCCAACCATGACAGTTGCATTTCCCTCCAGACCGGCCCAGTTCCATGTCTTTCCCCTTCCTCTCCTCACCCCCCGCGGCTCTGAGCTGCTCCTCCACAAGGACAGCCTCCTAGCACCCCCACCCCAATCCCAGCAGCCTCCAGAGTCAGCAGTCCCTCCCCTCCATAGACACCTCGCAGAGCAAAGGTCCCAGCAGGCGGCTGTGGCCGCCCGGAATTGCGACAGTGAGCCTCAGCCTGCTCTCCCAGCCTCCCTCCTCCTCCCTGCCTCTGGGAAGGGGCCAAGAAGCTCTCCCCACTAGCTGTGGGCCTCGGCCAAGCGGGTAGAACTCCAGGGGTGGAGAGGCAGGTGCCCGGCCTTCCAGGGCTCTCTTAATATGGATGCCCTGCGGGGCACTAAGGAACAGTGACATCTGGGATGGGAGTGGGGTGGGGACAGCAGAGGACCCAGGCCCGGCCAGAACAGATGTGGGGAGCCAGGCAGGCTGCCTTCTCTGGGGGAAGTTTCCACCTGGAGTGACTGGCAAGGCTCTGCCCGGCACCTGTGCGCCTTCCTGAGCCCGAGCCTTCCTGCCCTGTGACTGGAACGGCAGCTCCATCCCTGAAAGCAGAAACCTGGTTTTACTGATTTTAATTTCCCGTTAGTCCCTGGAACAGGGTCTAGCGTAGAGTGGGCCAGAGTAGGTACTGCGTCCCTGGTGGTAGAAAGAATACGTAGGCAAAAACCATGTAATTCCCTTCTATACTTGTTTGCTCTAGTCAATTTAGGCTCTGGGCTCCCATTCAGCTCAAATCCTGGCCTTGCCTCTGTCCCTTACTAGCTGTGTCCCTTATTAGCTTGATTAAGCCTCTGAGCCTCTGCTTCCCTGTCTTTAAAATAAGGATCATCTGGAGCTGGAAAAGATCATGCTTAGTGAGATAAGCCAGAAAGAGAAAGAAAAATACCGGATGGTTTCACTCATAGCAGGAGTATAATGGACCAGGC